GTCGAGATGTGATCAATAGAGAAAGACAATTCGTGGGACAGCCTGTGTGGAGCATGATGGTGTTGAACTTTGAACAATTTTGCTTTGAAAATTTTTACTTTTACACAAAATGTAAAATGTCTCCGATGGGATTTGAACCTGCGACATCCCGCTGTCAAGACAAGTGTCATAACTATTAGACCACAGAAGCTTCATGGTTGAACAGATTAAAAATAACCGTCAGTTACATTGTATTACATGGAATTATTACAAAATGGCGCGCCTCGGCCTTTATTAAAATAAAGAACTCAGCCTTCTCCGGGATATAGCCTAAAGTGCACCCTCTTCGAGACCTGCTCTAATTCGAAACCAGTTTTTCAGAACAAAATAAAAAAAAATCATTGAACACAAAGCTAACTCTCGAATTCGAGATCAACCGATCCCCAAGACCAGCTCAATTTCCAGGTCTCAGAGATGGTCTCGATTTTGAATTGGAGGGACTGTAAATAAAAAATGTATGCAATGAAATGTAATCTGTGTTTTGAATGTACAGGTACTGTGCGGTACACTACCTTTTGAAGAAGTTAAAAGGACAATTTTGACATACAAACGATATTGATTGGTTAATTATTGGTCCGGCCAAAACCGAACCAGCCCGACCAATATAATTTGTGCGCGATACGATATTTTTTTTTTCTTTTACAGTATATCGTCTCTTTCTGTTAATTATGTATTTGTTATTTATTATGCAACCATTGTTGTAATGCTTGAAATAATCGATCATTTGGCAATAATAATAATAATAATAATAATAATAATAATAATAATAATAATAATAATAATAATAATAATAATGATAAATAATTCAATGGGAGCAGCCCTCACTCAACAAACAACTTTACCATGTTAATTTAACTTTGTCATTCTGATTTTACTTCATTCCGTTTACCATTAATTCATGATCTTGGTGGTTACAGCTTGATACGGTTGAACTACGTATAGATTGACGTATTACAAACTTCACTTCGTTTAAATAAGATTGTCTATATGGAATCTCTGTACACTGATGATGACAGTAGGATCTGTCGAAACATGTATGTAGCGTAAGGTCTAGCGATGGCTAGGAGGCCTAATAAATTTTTCGGGCATTGCCTGAATTGATCGTTCTTAAAAGTATCTTCATATTTTTGAATTTTATTAGTGTTATTGTGTCATCGATCATTTGGCAATAATAATAATAATAATAATAATAATAATAATAATAATAATAATAATAATAATAATAATAATAATAATAATAATAATAATAATAAAGCCCGACCGCTTTCTACGGAATTATGTTAGCCGTTTGGTGGTAGGCCTATTGTGATGCAAAAAAAATGTCAATTTGTTTAAACAGAGACATTTATAGATCTAGTCCTTCTGTGTCGTTACACACTAATGGCATGCCAAAATGATCCAGAACGAGAACATTATGGTTTCAAGGTATCTGAAATTTTAAAGACCTTACAGAGAGGTAGGTATTCATGCTATTTTCCCTACATTTCTCACGCTCTATTATGAATAAATGAATAACTCAAAAGCAATACTGTACTTCAATTCACGACACAGATACTGAAGGTAACTTGCCATTTATCACTGTGCTGATGCGCTAATATTACTATAGACCTACTTTATTGACACAGAATAATAATAGTTCCTGTTAAATGTTTATGTGATTGGAATGCAGTGCAATGACAATGGAAGCAGTCAATTAAAGCTTGGTTTCCTTAAAATCGTTACACTTGCGGCGTTCTGAGTGTAATCGTTACTGCGATCAGTCATATCGGACGCAATCGGGAAAGGCTGCCCGATTAGACCGACCAATCGGCATCGCCGAAGGCTGTCGGCGATAGAGTGTAGCGATTGTATGGAAACCAAGCTTTGGACTGCATAACGACTACAATGAAGCTGCTCACACACTGCTTAATATAATCATGTCCACGTCCATGACAAAATTACGATAGTCATTCTAGGATTGCGTCACCCTTCCGAAAGTAATAATGGGTTAAGAATGAGCATATGAGTGCCGCCAGAGTCAACACACTTGTTTTTTCTCTACTCAAGATTAAAAATGAATTTAAAAAAAACCCGAGTAGTCCTGCACGAATAAGAACAATTCCGGCAGTGGAGAAGGTTTCACATTGTGTTCAGTATTCAATGATCAGACACCAAGCACTATACGCTTCATGAGTCTAGCATAAAAATATACAAATATTTTGACAGAAAGAGACCGGATCTACTTAAACTTGTGGACAATTTTTCATATAGGCTCAATTAGGCCTAGCAATTGCACTTCCTAGAAACCCGACGTTTTGAGTATGAACCACCCATTACCTTGTACAAAGAGATACAATCTTTTCTTAGATTACAAATTAATCTTTAAAGAGATAATTGTTTCAAGAATAGTTTTTTAAAAACTGTCAGTCCTGTTTTTGAGGTTATTGTTAATTATATTCTTTCTTCAGGCACATAATCCAGTAAAATAAAATGGAATAAAGCACTTCGAGACTATCTCAATTTATTAACAAGTTTTCGGTACTACTAATAATAGGCTATTAGTCACATGATGTGCAGGTAATCACTAATATCATTATTAGTGGCTACCAGTCCATGTCACTTGTTATTAGTGGCATTACAGGTAGTCAAATAATATCACTCTATTGAATCATTGTTCCAACGCTAACATAATTTTTATAATTCTGATCTCTTTATAATTATGTTCTAAAATAATAGTGTCGCACATTGTTGTCTATGCGGTGACGTAATAAGCTCTGCCAGTACTCTATTAAAATACTAGAATAAATGCAGCAAATCTAGATATTCCGGGGCTTGGTGCTCTGATAGATCTAAACTGATGTATTTTTTAACAATTGGAGTTCGGACACTTAAACCTGGCACTCGTTGCGTCGGCCGACGAATCCAACTCCACTCCCTGTGAGCGATAGTATAGACAACGCGATGCCGTCTGCTGATTGCCATCGGCAGGAGGCTGAACGGATCGTCATTAAAAACGATCCGTTGTGCGTGCGTCGTGGCGTGCGTTCTTCATAGAATCGCGGTGAGTACCCGGCTTAGTACTTAGTCTTTTGCTTAATCATCGAACATAAGTACGTAGGTTTGCTGTAATAATTGTATGTAATCGCAATTCTATACAGCACTTTGCAAAATAAGTGCTTTGAAACATCAACGGAGGTCTTCATAACTCATATAGAATATGAGCCATGCCTACTTTTGAAAAATGTCAAGACAATGTAATAAACCGTTTTATTGATAATCTTTAAAGGCCTATAACCAATATCGCCAATCATTTATCTAAACGACTAGCCGTTCAGCGTATAGTTTTTCATAATATGGCATTGACGTGTCAATGCATTCTAACAAATCTTCTGAAAACTCAGATCTTGGAGGTGGTTCCATGTTGTCCGGCTTCTTAAAGCAAGTGCTATCGAATGCAGCCTGATAAACACCGTAAACAGCCTTGTTGGCTTGGAGCTGGATTTTTGACGCTGCCCATTGCTTTACGACTCCATCACCAGCGTCGAATTTCAAAAGTTTATCTGTATACTGAAGGCCTGTAGTTTTGCAAAATTTGCGAAGAACACCTTCTGGGTCAATTTGTAGGTCATCTGAGTCGATAATGATTGGATTCTTCTCTAAACCACTTTCTTTTACGTACTCGTATAAGTCGAACAGCTCCTTAAAGCCGTAACCTGTTGCTCCTGTTGCTTTCAGCAGTGTCGAAAATGGCAGTTTACTTTCACCAGCCTGGGTAACTCCTTCGAACATCTTGTTCCATGATTTAAAAAGCTTGTTTGGATGCCGTATCATAAACGCGTGTCTGTAGCCACTTGGAATCATATCGTATTTTTCTTTAGGGAGACTTATAGCCGTATCTTTACAAACCACAGCCTCTACACCTGGATAGTTACCTTCCAGGAGTGACTCCTTTACCCATTTGTAAGTATACAGATTGTGATCCAAGCCCATTTCTACATCGGCGCTTGAACTACGTTTAGTGACACTGTCGGCCACCTCCGCCGCAGCCCCTTGGAGTTTTCGTTCAGGCCCAAAAGCAGATGCACAGGTAAAAGGCTCACTAATGATCTTGACTCGATCCAAGTTGCTCATTGACTTGAGAAAGACTGTAGACAATGTCCGAGGCACCATCCACAGGATCACTCGAACAGGTTTGACTGGTTCTGTTGATGCCATTTTTCTTCAATAGAAATCAGCCCTTGAAAAATAATATATTATTTCAATACGATTAGCAAAATAAGTCAAGTGTTCAGAACATGCATGTTTCTATTTGCTCTAATGTAATTTTCCCCAAAAGTGACCGGAAATGGCATTTCTTACCTTTGACCCTAAATACCCAGCATATCTATATCTCAAAAAACGGTTGGCCATAGAAACCTGATTTTGGCTTCAAAGTTTTCCGAACATACATGTTCCTATTGTGCGACATGTTGACCAGAAATAAAGTTTATAACCTTTTGATCTTAGGTACCCTGTAGGATATTTATATCTCCATAACCGTTGGTCATAGAGACCTAAGTTTACCTCAATTTGCTCGGAACATATATATTATTATTTGCACTAATCAAACATTTTGTCTAAAATTGACCGGAAATAAAATTTCTGACCTTTGTCCCAAAAGACCTTATAGCATATATCTATACCTCTATTACCATTGGTCAGATACACCTGGTTTTGGCCTCAAATTGTTCAGATTATGCATGTTGCTATTTGAACTACTGTAACGTTTTGTCCAAAAAAGAAATTGGAAATGGCATTTCTGACATTTGTACGTACCCATAGGCAGATCTCAGAATGGTCTCAAACCAGAATGTACATGTTTCTATATGTATTTGTCTTTGTGAATATGAATGATAATTTGGACCTTATATCCACATCTTCCCAAATTTAGAGAATTGATTATGGTCTGAAATGCCAGAATAAGCATCTGTTACTTTCAATGAAAGTGCTTGTGTGTTTTGGTCTCTGGCCCCAGTAATGTTTGTTTTATTAAAAGAAAAAACGTGTTTCATCTACCTAGGATACTCTTGCGACTCTAATAATAATAGTAATAATAATAATAAAAAGAAGACACTTGTAGACTAAAAGCGCATAACACGAAAAACTCCTTTTTTGCTTCATATTATATAATAAATAAAATTTTTAGATAAACAAATACACACACACAAACACAAAGAAATGGCAAAAAAAATTGAATATGTGGCGATCAGCCACAAGCAGGGCGCTCTTTGGAAGGGAGGGCTGTATTTATGAGATGAAGAGAGGATAGGATAATAAAAGATGGCGGATGGAAACACATGTGTCTGTCTCTGTGTGTGATCTTTCACTGTGTATGGATGTCGATTATTGATCCCGGTCCTGGCAGAATCGCCACAGCACTGTATTCCGAATCTCTGAGGGGTCACCGTCACCACCCTAACCCAACGCAGGACCCTATCTAGGTTGCTCGAGTAAAGGAATATGAAACACCTTCAAGGGTAGCAGTCTGGTGCTTCACTAACATGCCTATTTGCATTACTCGAAATTAATGAAACGCATATGAAACCATTGTTGTAGGTATTTTAATTGGAAGGTATGAAGCCAAATTATCTTATCACAGAACTTTTCTGGTCCCCTGGCTTCCATTCATGATGGGCCACTTCGTTCACATTAGTCCTAATGTAATTCATTACTCTCGAATTGTTACACTGCCTATTTTATGACTGTTTAGAAAAAGAAAAGAAAAATAAAACCTCCTCAGACGTCATTAGACCATTGAAAATTTATTCACTACACAAACTCAGACCCCCAACTAGATAAATGAAACTATCAGATAATAATACGTTTATTAGTACTCGTATGCTATATTTATGTGATTTCTGAATAAACAAAGAGATATTTATAAAATAGTAAAATAGTCACAGAGCTAGGCTAGACCTACTGAGAATATTTCGGTTCTTTGCAGTGAAATAAATCTAAAACGTATTCATGAAATCATTCAAAATCGTGTACAAAATAGTTGAACAAACTTTAAAGTATGTCCCAAAAGTAGTTGTAGTGCAATTGTATACTTTGAGGTACGAAGCTTACGTAGATGACCTAAATAAAGGAAATAGCCTTAAATTAATTCAAAGACAACGAAACTGTTTCATGACTCGTTGGAAAAGATTCGGTAAACAATCATTTTGCCCTCTGGCAGTGCATGAAGCGGATCAGAAATGATGTAGATTGCGGTTGAGTACATGAAACTAGTCGTGGTTATTGAAACTTGGGATTGACCCCAATAGAACAATCATCGGCACTATTTTCAGTGATGTAGAAAAACGTTTTAATGAAGTATGTTTACACTTACATCATTCAAATCGTGTACATAGATATTTAAACAAATAATCAAACCATAGCGTGCGTGCCGACATTACAATTGCTTTTGAAATATCTTTCAAAGGTAATTTTACAGAGCATGGCAAAAGATACGAAGCAGTTCATGTCTTGAAATTTATCAGAACATTGGGAATGCAATAATCAGTACATGGATGCTTCAGCTTTAAAAAGGTATAACCAATTTCCCCGGGGTATCACTAATTAACCCCAGGGACTATCGACTTAAAAATAGAAAATTTCTACTCCTCAACCTATTTCCAGCAACCGTAGAAAATGTCATCGCAATTATAGCTCAACGAGAACTGTATTGTTGCTATGGAGTTTCTTTCTGTACTCTCAGAACTATGTAGGCCAGTTTATAGAGAATAATTATAATTCAAACTAGCAATTAACTTTACTTAAAATTGTCCGATTGAGATCACTGAGCCCTCAAGGTTAATGATATGCACTATTCATTTACATTAAAAACCATCTTGATAGAGTAGGCTACGAGTTTACAGCCCTTTTTATGGTCTTTTCGTCACAATTGTCTGGTATAACTTTAAACCTCAGTGTGAATACTTTGTATTGTAGAAATACCACCTCAAATAAAAAATAAAAACAAAAGATAAACATTTGCATTCCAGATTTTGTGGCTAGAAGCCATAAAAACATCTGTCAAACATCCATGGTCTTTGGAAGGAAACATCATTTAATATCTGGTTAAAGGCATTCTAAATTTTAGCTGGAAATCATCCCAGCATCCCAGGATTTCTGGGATGTGGTTATGGCTAACAACATGTCTATAATGAAGTGTGGCCAACTAACATATGTACTTAATAAATAACTTGAAATAAACTGCTTTATTCAAACAAATGTTTCTCAAAAGAGTATAAGAATAAATGAAATTTGATATTGTTTATTATGCAGTCATGAAAAAGCAAAAAAAATATTAATTACATGTTATTAGTCGCACATCTTACCAATCAAAACAAGGTATTACAGCTGCAGGCTTATCATATAGATTAGGCCCCATAAAAAATATTAGTTTACCACCTAATTAAAGAATAAAAACTGATGAGGGAGCTAGTTTTTTTTTTCTTTTTTGCTAGCCCCGACCCCATTTTACCAATGTTCGCAAGTAAATCAATGGTTAAGGAAAAATATATAATAAGTCATAAGCATGGAATCAAATTTGTATTTAAAAAAGATGTTTTTGTTGTAACCAGTATACATATTTGCAAGAAATCCTGAGCTGTTCAAGTAATTAACGGTTATGTAGATACGCATGCTACAATGTACCTAGGGTCAAAAGGTCAGAAATGTCATTTCGTGTCACATTTAGACAAAACGTTGCAGTTGTTCAAATAGCAACATGCATATTCTGAAACAATTTAAGACTATTGAGATAGGATATGCTACAGCGTACCTATGGTCAAAGGTCAGAAGCATCATTTCCTGTCACTTTTGGTCAAAAGTTACATTAGTGCAAATAGAAACATGCATGTTCTGAACAATATGAGGCCAAAGTTAAATCTCTATAATTAACGGTTATAGGGATACAGATATACTGTAAGTTTTGTAGGTAAAACTTTATCAATGTCATTTCCTTTCACTTTTGGACAAAACATTGTATTAATGCAAATAGAAACATGTATGTTCCAAACAATTTGAGATCAAAATTTAGTCTCTACGATTATCCGTTATCAAGATATATGGATCCCTTCTTTCAGAGGGCCTTACAATTCGAATTGGCGGCCATAGTAGGCGTCAGAAACTCTTGGCAAACAACTTTTGTTTTAATCACAAATATCAAATCTATTTTGTGCCAAGTTTCATGTTTTTGTAATTAAGTGCACAGCTAGTAGCTGCTCTACTAAAATGCGCAACTTAATGCTTTAGCTGCTACACTATAGCAGTTAATCTATAGGGTCTTTCAATATTCTAAGGATTTAAATGGACATTTTTACATTTGTAGGTGAAATGTTGACTACATTATGGTTAAACAGATTTTTACATTTGTGGGCGATTTTTTTTTTACAATAGACCGAATTAGTCACCAAAGATGACGTCATCAAAATTTGGCCGATTGGGTATTAAAAGTTGTTTACACCGTAAAGTCCTATGTTAACGCATTGAGTTAAGTCGAAAGTGGTGTCTATTAAATCGTCTAAAATGTAATAAGTTAGTGTAGAAGATACTTTTTATAACAATGTATATATTTTGAATGATTCAGAGATTTATGGGATTAAGATTGACTTGATTTAAATTGCCATTCAGACTAAAAATATGGAGAATTTCGAGAGGGCTTCTAGGAAGCCTAGGCCTGTCACTCGCGAGGCTCACCACATCAAGCGCTGACTAAGTTGATCGCTGTTGATTAGAGGTATTATTCAGCGTAAATACTGTCACCAAGTCATTTTGTTGCAATTTCTGTATGAAATATTTAAACTATTGGACAAACCTAAATTGCTGAATTGTAGAATAAGATGTTTCTTTTGACTACGATGGCAAGTGAGTCAGAAGAACGTTATTTGTATCACTCTATAGTCTAGGGCTAGGCCCGTTTTCATGTAAGGCGGCTTTGCAAAAATTTTCAAGTTTTCCATTTGTTTCTTTCACTCCATTTCAAATCTGTTGGGTCAATACTGTGATGAGAAAAAAATACCAAGGCTTTTTAAGTTATTTTACGATAAAATGTACAAATAAATATGTTTGAGGTGTTTAAAGACTGTCACAATTTACTCGAGCGGAGGATTATTATTGTGTGAAAAAAAACTTTTGACATTTGCGGATTGGATGTTTTGATATTTGTGGTTAATTTTTACATTTGTGGTAGATTTTTACATTTGTGGGCTTTGTGGGCTCTTCCCCCCCCCCCCCAACAACCACCCTCGGGCAAAACCTGGCGCCACCTCTGATCCGGACAACGCCAAATTCACCACGTTATGTAGGACCAGGGAGTTGTTATTTAGAGGTAGGACTATAGTGGAAATTGAATTCAATGGATGACCAATTATTTTCTATGACACCGTTGGGTTGGTTATGCACAGTAGTATTAGTCTAGTATAAATATTGTTGTCATACACCTAGTACTTTAGAGGTATAATAATTGAACCTATTATGTTCCTATTATGCACCTTTTCTAGGATCTGTGGCTGAAAAACTATATTGTTAGTGAAACGTAACAAGTATGGATATTGAGGGGATAATATCTAGTTGAATTTCATAGCAACATAAAAATGGAGCGCTCAGCCGGGTGATGAATGTGGTCTCCGAGCCGAGGACGATGAATCCAGGGACCTGCCAGAGAACAAACGCTGCATTGCGGTTGGTCTGAATTCACCCTCATATCGTCAACAAATAAAAAATCATCACAGGTTTACCTCTAAATGGCCTAAGAATTAAGAGAGAATTAGTTAATCTTACAGAAATTATGTGCGCGTTTTGTACCTACCTGTCTTAAACTGCCGACGAGTAACGCCTACTTATGCAAATTTATTGAGGTAAATATTGCGCAAGGTCGCTTTGGTGGACCTTGTAGTTTCGATGGCAATGTTGAATCCCACGGTAGACATTATTGACACAATTGATGATTGATGATTCATAGGCTATAGATCATAAGCTCGTGTTAAATTTTATTGGCGTGATCGGCAGGATCCAGTACAAAACCAATGAGGGCAGTCAGCCTGCATGAGTGTTAATGACGCTGCTCATAGGCAGAGGAAAAAACTAGTGGGGCCATCAGTGTCGCATCCAGGTTTCGAAGTAGAGTGGGGGGGGGGGCACACAGGGAAGACCTTTTACAGATGGGAGTCTAGAACACCTCAGATTTTTTATTATGGCACTTCCAGGTGGCAGGGAAATGGCACTCCCATACTTAAATTTTAATATAAATTTTATGCATTTAAAAATAAATAAGACTAGTTTTTAAAAACGTAGGGAAGAGGACGGACTCGTTCCCCCGTCCCTTTAATCCACCACTGTTAATAATACAATATCAGTAACATTAAAAAGCAAATTCAATAACACGAAAATAGAGCAAGGACTAAAATTAAAATTTTAAAAAAAGCAAAAAACAAAACAAACAAAAAAAGTACAAGTAGTTCATTGCTTAAAAAAAAGTCAATTTTTATCATTGTTCGAGCGTCATTATTGACCGTGAGAGTGTATTTCGAAGTAACATAACAGAGAGGTAAACGAGATGATTTAAACGGTTGTATATACATACATACATATATATGTACAATTGTTAATATGTATATGCAGTTGTTAAAACAAACTCCGGACACTGGCATAATTTAAGACATAAACATTTATCAAATGTTAGATGTTTATGTCTCAAATTATGCCAAAGTTTCCGTAGTTTATTTTAACAACTGCAGTTTTTTTTTATACCAGGGGTGAGCATAAAAATCGGTCGGAGGGCTAAAATGAATTTCTGATTGAACATCGAGCCGCACCCACACTTTGATATTTCCAGTGTGCTTCAAAAAACCTCCAAGCACTGCTTTTACACCACTTTGTTCCCAGTTATAATATTACCTTTTAACATATAATCGGTGTCGGGTCGTTAAAAAAAGTGTTTTCTAGCGAATGTTGCTTGGCGGGCCGCACAAAGGCCTATAGGGTTTTTAATTTATATCTGCGGGCCGCAAAAAAAAAAAAAAAAAAAAAAAAAATCGCTGTCGGGCCGCACTTTGCCCACCTGTGTTCTATACCATCAAGACATACGTGGAACATCATTGACTACATCGATACATACATATATAATACAGTAATTCGGTTTTATTTTAGGAACAACATAAGGACTAGGAAAAGTAATTTACAAAATAGGTCATCAATTCATTTGTAGACTTCACTTTAGGTTTTGTCATTTTGTTCTGGAAACAGTAGCATAACGAAGAGGACTGGCGTAGGGGCCCATCCGTTCCAGCGTGTTTGACGTTTTCATTGCTTATTTTCATGTTGTTTTTTTTTCATACTTTCTGGTCATAATGGGGCTGCTGCGAAAATATCAAATAGTATTCCGGGGCTTCTTAGACCAGGGCCGCTAACAGGGGCGGATCCAGAAATGTCCAAAAGGGGGGCCTGAAGCGGGGGCCGAAAGTTGGGCCGATTGAGACAACACTGTCGTAGGGGGTCTGGGGCATGCCCCCGCGAAATTGTTGTGTTCTAGACGCCCGAACATAACATTTGAGACATTCTGGG